ACCTGGCCTGAGCTCTCTCAATCCCTGACTCCTTTGGCTTGTCACACTCTTTCTTCCTGAAGCTGTACTCCACCCAGGGAATCCCCCCCCACACTCACACTCAATGTTTCCTTCCCACTTCCCCTCTTCCGTTTTCCACCTCTTCACTCCATCCTCTCTCCTCCCCTTGCCTCCTCTCCTAGCTGCCCCCCCACACCTCCCCGGAGCCCCAACTAAAATGGTTGTGGAGAGAACAGGATTAGGATATTCAGTATCCTGCCTGGTATTCGACACAATTTTGTATTTTTGTATCAGATGCCCATCTGAGGGGCAGAATCGTGTCCTGGTCTCTAGGAGCACATGTGGCCACTTTGCTGATACGACAGTTTCACGATGAACAGCAGTTGCAGTGTATTACAAAACTTCCCAAAGCCTCCAGATCCCAAGTCTCTTGAGCCCCGATCCTCCACAGATGAGAGGACAGGACACCTGGTGACCCCGGAAAGCAGTTTAACATAGCTCTGGGTTGCTGGTTAGGGTAGCTAAGATTCTGCCTAGGGGTTTCAGTCCCCACCCCAGTGTGGTCCCCAAGAAAGATGCCCAGGACTCGCCCATCTCTGAGCTGCTTCTAGGAGTGGCCACACACCCCTCTCCAGCTTGGGACTGTCCGGCCAGCATGTCTCCACTCCAGGATGGTTTGGCTCCCTCCTCCCTCTCCCCTCCTCCTTCCAATGAGCTCATCTGTCTGGGGCTCCCCATCCCCCTTTGCCTGAAAGGATGTTTGGACAGAACCTGAAGAAAGGAAAAAAGAGGGGGGGGTGGAGGGAGTGACTGCTTACCTGCCTATACCCTGAGCTTCTAGGAAGTGAAGGCAGGTAAGAAGAAAGAGAAAACTCACTTCAAGAGGAAGGTTAGAGAGTCTTTAGCTTTATACCAACTCACTGATGTTCTGGGAGCCCCGGTTGAACTGAGGTGGCATGCAGCATCCTTTGCTGGACCGTTCAGCCACGTGCCTGTGGGTTGGTTTGGTGCATGCTGTCTTGTTAACTCTCTCAGCACCTGCCAAACTTCTGTGGATGCTAAGGCAGTGGCTGAGGGGTCAGCCAATCTGAGCCCAGGAGAAGGGGATGTGAGCACATTCAGATAGTACAGAAAGAGGCTCCCAAACATTAGCCCGGACAGCATCCTCTCAAACCCCCACCCAAATGACAGAAGAACTTGTGGTCTTTTAACTTGAAAATGCAGAGAATCCTGGGCTTGTCGTTGTTCTGTCTGAGATGGGGACCCTGTTTACAAGTGGAGGGGGGGCCCAGGGTAGGCAAGATGCAGATGCAGCTCCTGGTAGGAATCCGAGGTCTGAAGGAAGCCATACAGTGAGGGTGTAGGACCAGCTCCCTGCAGAACCCACAGCCAGTGGCACTATGCTTGAGTGCCTGCAGTACCCACAGCGGCCTGGGAAGAGTGTGAGGGCTTCTGGGGGAGGAAGCTGGAGAGGAAGGCGGAAGACAAGGACAATGGGAGAGCAAGAGAGAGAGAGGAGATGCCCTGCCAGGCTCCTGCACCTTAAAAAGAATACCTCTCAAAATAGCTCTGGGACCTCATCCTACTCTTGGCCCCTTGTCTCTCACACAGGGTCCTGGCCCACTGGCTGGGAACTGACAGGGAAGGTCTTCTGCTGGAAGGGTCGCCTATAGGTGATCCTGTGGAGCTAGTGAGTGTCTTCTGGTGTCAGAATTACTCGAAGGCCTATGTTACTATGATCCTGATTCTTTTTGGTGACTTCTCTAAATGTTACCCTGTTCCAAAAATAGGGACCCCTCTCCTCCCTAACTCTATTCTAGCCCCTTAGGAGGCTCAGGGGAGTGGGCTTTCTGCTGAGTCTGTTGTCTGGTTAGATTGGGTTTGGGGGCTAACCTACCTGAATTCCCAAGGAAGCAGCTCCTTCCACTTAAGCCTGGGCTGTCTCTGCCAGCTTGAGGAATGGATGGTTGTCTGACAGCCCTTTGGCTCTGGTCCACCCCATCTCAATGTCCCTGCACACTTCAAGGGATTTCTGAGCCAAGCCACCCAGACCTGTGTGTGTCACCCATCCCCAGGAATCAGTATTTCCAGGGACACTACTGGGCTGTACCTCCAGAGATCCATGTCCCTGGAAGGAAATGTACATTTCGTTTGCTCTCCCATGACTCTAGAGGCCTCTGAGAGGAAAGAAGAGGTGATCTGATGTGACTCCTTAAGAGTTTCCCAAGGATGGGGAAGAAGAATGGGACCTTCCTCACCCTGTCCCCTGGCCGCCTCAGGAGGACTCTTAGCTCTGTTGTTGCAGTGGCTTTCTGAGGTTTCTGAGAGGGCTGTGCTTTAGGAATGTAAAAGCCTCTCAGCCCACTCCTGCCTAGTGTTTCCCAAGCCCTTGTTCTGCCCCGTCGGGGGCCCTGCTAGTGTTCAGAGAACAGCCAGGAGTGGGAGGCGTAGAAACCAAACCTCAGAGAGAGCAAGCCTTGATTTACCCGTGACTCTGTCTGCGACCTTGGCCCACACATACTCCATCCCTGGCCCACATATTTCTCTGTGTGTTTGTGAAGCATGAGGGCACAGTGAGGGTCCTCTCAGCTAAAGAATTCAGGGAACAGCAAGAGACTAGGAGACGTGGGGGTAGGGCACTCAGGGGAACTGGTCACCGCCCTCTGCCGCCAGGGTCTAAAGATATCTCTGGAGTTCTATTCCCCCTCCCTCCTTGTTTTCCGGGCAGGGGTCATTTTCTTTCCCTTTGGCTTACCTCCTCTCACCTCAGCCTAGTGCTTAGGGAAACATGACCCTGTGGTAAAAATAACATGGGCAGCGTGGATGCCTGGCCTCGCTTGCATAGTGGCAGGCCCTCCCAAAGGTCAAACCTCTTCTGGACGTGGCTTCGCCTCTGAGGCCCCAGGCTTCTTTGAACTCAGATGGGTTGCATGTTGAGTCTGTGTGCCCAGCACTCTGCTAAGCGTGTTACCACGTGTTGATCTCTTTGAGTGTTTATATCCAGTCTTATTTCTAATGTTGGAAAGGCCTGACGCAAGATACAAGCGCAAAGGCACACGAGTCTGAATGTAGGTTATAACTCAGGATGATCAGGGTACCTCAGAGATCTACCTCTTCGTCCTGAGTGTTGGGTTGAAAGGCGTGGTGGAGAACGCCTTTCATCCCAACACTCAGGACGAAGAGGTAGATCTCTGAGGTAGATCCCTGAGTTCCAGGCCAGCCTGGCCTACACAGAGAAATCCTGTCTCAAAAAACCACCACCACTACCACCACCACCACCACCACCACCACCACCACCACCACCAGCAGCAGCAAATCAGGATCATCAAGAAAAGTTTATCTCCCATTCTCTGCCTTTGACTGCTTTTCCTTAATGGCCTAGAAGATCAGGTCCACATGGAGTTTTTTTTTTTTTTTTTTTTTCAGCCTCTTCCCCAGCCATCTTGCTTCTGTGGCTGATACTGCAGCAACAGGGTCTCCACTCAGGAATCACCCACCTACTCACCAACCTTATCCACCCAGCTGCCATCAGGCCACTTCTTGGGTCTGTGGCACACTCGTCATTTCAGAGGAAAGACTGGAGAGGAGCCCAACTCAGCCACCCCAAGAGGAAACTCTAGGTTATTAGATCCCCAGAACCTTTTAGAACTCAGAGGAGGTGGGTTTCCTGGACTCATGGACTAGCACGAAGTCCTCTAAAAATAGAAGCCCAGCACTGTCCTCCCTGTCGCCTAGGGTTGAGGATGATGCTATTTTGCATGACCTCAGGAGGTTAGTACCATGAGGTCACCATCCAGCAGACAGCCGAGACTTCACCAGAAAGTTGTGTGCGTTGTTGAGAGTTCTCCAGCAGCAAACACAGGGCGTCAGAGCTGTTCAACTACCTTGACAACCAACGACGAAGCAAACGAAAACAAGGTTCTCCCCGCAGACAGTTAACATTCTGTATACAACCTCAAGGGTCTCCTATGGCGCTGAAGCCTACCAGGGACTCCAGGTTGGAAGATGAGTGGCGGGTGTGGCGAGGTGGAGGGTGTATTTCCAAGGTTTAACTGGTCTCCAGGTGGCGAGGAGGATTTGTCCTGGAGGGTAGCTTGGGTAGTTGACTGAGGGGGTCTTCAGGGGGATGTTCCTGGTGTTTGCGGTTGCCTCCCTTCCCCTGCCGCCCCGCGCTGGGGGTTGGGGGGAGCACACTGTCTCCAAGTGACTGTCCCCCAACCCTCTAATATGCAGAATCTGTGCAGAAATGGGTTGGTGGGCGGCGTGCAGGAGCACTTTGCAGGGGAAACACGGTTTGCCACGGTCTAAAAGCCATCCGCAGAGCGAATGAGCGGCACGGCGGGAGGCGACGCGTGTGGGTTCAGGGCTGTACCGGTCGTCCGCAGCGGGCAAGCCGGCACACGCCCACCGGCTGCGGCAGCGCCCGCTGCGGATGTCCTCCCGGCGGTCCCCGGAGAGGCAGCCGCTGCCCTTACTCGTTTTCTCTGAGCGGAACAAAACAGCCTTCCAACAAACCTAAAAGCTCCACCTCTACTCCCCCGTGAACTCTTCTCCTAATTGGCAGCTCGGCGCTTGGGATGATGCGGGCGGCTGCGGGCTGGCCCTGCAGTGCCAAGCCGCAGCATCCCCGTCCGGCTGGAGAGGGAGAGGGCTGCCCAGGCTGGACCCTACGGTCGTGATCCACGGCGCGACCGGCACTGTGCGAAACCGGCGGGGACGCCGCCCCTCCTGCGGCTGGAGCGCTTCCAGAGCAGAGGCGCATCGCAGTGCCGCTCGCCCCGGCGTCCTCCCTTCAGCTCCGGCTCCTCCTCCTCCCCTCCAGCCCGGGCTCCTGCAGCCGGCTCCAAGAGGCCGGCGGGCGCGCCTCCCCCTCCTTGTCCTCCCCCTCGTCTCGCTCTCTCGCGGCTAACTTTCCGGAGCCCCGACCCGCGGCGCAGAGCTCCCCTGGCAGCTGCGGGGCCCCACAGCCGACCTCGGGCGGAGAGCCCGGCTGTGCCCACTGTCCCATCCCAAGCCCCCGGAGCGCTCCAGAGAGAACAGGACCATGTCCCGGGCTGGGAACCGAGGCAATACTCAGGCGAGATGGCTGGGCACTGGGCTTTTGGGTAAGATAGCCCCAGCTTTGTCTTTTCTCTCTTTCTCGCCTCTTTCTTAACCCCACCCCATCCTGAAGGAGGTGAAGAGCGGTGCCTTAGACAAGGTGGCACCACAAAATGACTGGGATATCGGTCTTCCTTCTGGACCCTTAGCTTTGGACTATGCTCTCTGGGAACCCTGTGCGTTCCCCCCACCCCCAGCCACCCTGGCAATGGGTTTCTGGCGCCCTTTGATGCCTTTCGGAACCAGGTGTTGGAGCTGCAGCAGGGGAATCCTCTTGAGATCCGAGTTAAGGCATGCTGGTGGGGTGGGGGTGTCTACTGCCTTGAGTGTGTGTGTGTGGGGGGGGGCTCCAGGGAGCTTGCAGGTGTAGTAGTGTGTGCTACTCTTGCCTAGGGCTAGTGACATGCTTCCCTGGCAGCAGGGGAGGCTCCAATAGGGGACGAGGGTCTCTCTCCGGACCCTTTGCTAGGTTCTTCCACCTTCTTCCTTTCTGGCGTCCCTGCCACTCTTTCAAACGCTGCAAGGGCTTAGAAGGACCTAGAAGACCACTCAAAAGCCACCTTTTCAGAAGGCCCTTGTCCCTCCCTCTTCCTGTAAAGGGTTTCTTTGGGGAAGTCTTGTTTGGCCTGCTACTGGATCTTCATTTTGGGGGAGACTGGGAAGAGAGAGAAGTCGGGCCCAGAGGACACAGAGGGTATAGACTCTTACGGCTATCTATTAATATTCACACGATGGTTTTGAGTGTCAAACTCCAAGAGATTAGGCAATGGTATTTATTAGTCCAGACCAGGATGAAATCTACACGGCCTGACTTCCAATGTAAACTGATTCGGTCTCTGGCATTTGTACCTCTTCCTGTTTATATAAGTCAAGATTGGTTTTGACAGCATAACCCACCCACCCCCATTGGATCCGGCACATGGTAGAGGTATTTATGCGGGAAGCAGGGGACACTGACCTCTTAAGGAAAGCCACTGCCTTTCTTATACCTGAAAATCACATGCGGATCTGTCCTATGGGTACCTGGCAGGTGTTGGGGACAGTATTCTTTTTGTTCCTGAGCTCTGCCTTACTCACCTCCCCCCCTCCATCCAGATATAAGATACTGATGTTTTGTCCCATACTGTACAGATGTTGTACAGGTTTCACGGTGACTCTTTAAAGCCCAAGGCTCTTCTTCATGGGATGGGTCATTCCACTGGAGTCCACACTTGGATCATCCTGGGATTCTCTTGTGCCCACGGTAGGGGTGAAGGGTTTCAGAGGCACCACAACTCCAGCCACTGTATGTCATAGGTTGCCTTACCCCCATGTTCGGTTGGTCAGGGGAGGGCTAGGCCTTGTACTGCTAGAGTATCCATAGAACCAGGCTTCTGTGAACAACCAAGAAGGCTCTAGGTACTGGGGTGAGTGGAGGGCAGGACAGAGCTTTGGTATGAATAGGGCAGGGACTTTGAAAACCACAGTGAGGAGCATCCCAAAAAGCGAGGGATGTCTAGCCCAGAGAGGGTTGGTAACCTGCCCAAGGGTGCGTGCCTAGCTGATGGTCAAATGGGATGGAATCCAGGCCATCTGGTGAGAGGGAAGGTCAGTAGGGCTTGTGTTTAGATCTTGGGAATGAGTGAGGCCCTGGGGCATGGCAGGGATGGTTATGGGTGGACGTGAGCAGTGGTCAGAGCTTTGCTTCACAGTTGACAACATGGTGTCCCTGAAGTCCCCTCTCCGTATCAACTCAGTTTCATAGACTGAGACCCCAGTGTTTTTCTGTTTTGTTTTTGAAAACACAAAAGAGTAGCCTTTTCTGAACCCGTGAAGTGACTCGGAAGGCCACAGCGCTGCCACTGAGGCTTCCGTGGGCTCCAGTCTTTTCCTGGGCGCGTAACTGAGAGCGTGCCGCTCTGCCCACCCCTGATTTGCTTAATTGCCGTGATCTGTGTTTAATTATCACTTGTGAGGGCGCCATGTTGCACAACCCTCTCTCCCCTGGTGTGTATTTATTAAGGGCTTGTTTAATGAGCGGACAATTAAGAGGGAGGGTGTTGAGTCCCACTCAGAACCAGCAAGGCTGAACCGGGAGATCTTGGAGAAGAGGAGAGAAGGGGGTAGAGGCCAGTCTGCACGGGCGGGGGGAGGTGATTAACTCTGGGATCTGCTTGCGGGAACAGGCAAGGCGGTGTCTCTAAGCCCTTATGACCGGCTACCTCCTAATGGGATCCATCTTGCCCTGTGGCTGCTCCTTGGGGGACTCCATGCAGTGAGCCAACGCCACTGCCCAGTGACCTCAAAAAGGAGGAACAGACTCACTGTTTGGACTTGTTTGTAAAGCTGGTTTCATGGATCCAGTGCTGTCCCAGGGGTATGCTTCTATCCTGGCAAAGCTCATGGGGGTGGGCAGGAAGCAGGTAGGCAGGTTGCCTAGGGTGAGGGAGCAGAAATCTTTCCTTTGTCATAGGACCCAGGAGCCTTGCCTGGCCCAGGCCTGTTTCCCCAGGCCCCTGAGGCCTCTCTCCCAGGAGGGGTCCTTCTCTTGCTGCCCTCGGCCCACTTTTCTTCCTCCGAGCTCTAACTCTGAGCCATTCTTCCTCCCTGGGGCCAGAGAGTCTCGGCTGAGCTTCTGTTCCACATGCCCCGCAAGTCCTTGGAGCTAAACTTAGAGCACGCAGCATTCTGCTCTCCTTCTGCCCCCTACCCTGCTCGGGAGTGACTGATCTCTGGTTATGGGAAAGATGATGGAATGTTTCCAGCCTGGGATCGACCTTGAAATGGATGGGAGTAACCATTGGATTCCTGGTGGTGTGAATATTTAATAGTAGAGCCATGTGCAGAATGCTCTCTCTCTCTCTCTCTCTCTCTCTCTCTCTGCGTGTGTGTATGTGTACATGTGTGTGCAGGTATGTGTGTGAAGGCCAGAAGTTGACCCTGGATGTCATTCCTCAGGCAAGACAGGCAGTGTCATTTGACCTGGAGCTCCCGAATGAGTAGATGAGGCTGGCTGGCTAGTGAGCCCAAGGCAGACTCTGGTCTCTGCCTTCTCAGTTCTGGAATTACAACTATATCCATTTTTTTTTCACAAGGTTTCTGGGAACTGAACTCACGTTTGCTAGTAAATGCTTTCCTCATTGAACAGGTCTGCAGCCCTAAATACTTTTCAAAAAACTTTGGTACAACTTGTGAGTCTGTCTTTCTCCCTGGACAAGGTCCCAGCAGGGTGGCAGGAGCTAGGGACTTCTGAAGATGGCTGCTGAGAGTGGGTAAATTATTTAGGAAAAACTAGATTGTGAGCATAGCAGAGGAGACTTCACGGATCCCAGCCAGAAGAAGGCCCAACTTACAGACAGACCCAACACCCACGTTGGCATTCTAAAGAGGTAACTTTTGGGCAAAGCAAGAAAGTCCTTTACTTAGGGAAATAGCCACATGGAAATAATCCAAGATATGGTAGATAGTGAAGGAATAAATCAATGCGTGAGTAGCTGGGAGACTGTCTTGACTGACACAGTAGTCTTTAAGAGAAACTAGTGGCGCCCTGTTTATATCCAATGCTGGTATGGGGACAGCCCTTTCCCCCTCCCATCTTTGAAGCAATATCCTCTCCCCAAGAATGTTCCCTTACTGAAGCCCTTCATGTGTTTTATACAGCTTCATGTTTTGGCTTCCCACCAAGCTTGGGAGGTAGGAAAGTTTACAGCTATCCCTGAATTGGTTTGGGATGTGCTTGTGGGATGTGTCACGTCTGACTTTGTCAAGGTCAGCAGGCAGACGGACCTGCAGATTAGTCCACTCCAGCTTTGGTCAACCTGCTGAGGTAGCCCTGCGGGGGGGGGGGGGGCGAGGGGGCTGTTAGTGGATCACGACCCATGCTCCTCTTTTCCAAGCTCAGCCTCACGGGAGCTTGTGCACCAACCTCCCAGACAGCCGGAAGGACTTCTCCATGCCTGGCTGGGTGGGTTGTGTGTTGCAGAAGCATCCAGGCTTGCCTACTCTTTCCCAGGTTTCCCCTCGGGCAGGGATGACTCTGTGAAAACCATCACTGTCGGCTTCCTTCATCCCTCCAGGCTAGTGAGGACACAGCAGTTCTCCACTCAGACTCCTCACCGTGTTAGATACAGTTAAGTCACCCGCATCAAGCAGAAATGCGCACTGTGCGGTGAGCCAGAACTTAAAGAAATAGCGTTCTTCCGTCTGAACTTTTCGTCTGCTCTTCTGTGCTTCTATCTATTTAAAGCAATCAGAGGCATTTTCTCAAACCAGACACGGAGACACAGGCTTGTAATCCCAGTACCTCAGGAGGCAGAGGTGGAGGGCAAGAAGTCCAAGGTCATCCTTGCTTGCATAGAAGTTCTAGTCTGGCCAGTATGACTCAAAAGCAAACAAATCGTCATCTTCCCTATGATGTGCTTCTGAGTTCTGGAATTGCTCATTTGAGCTGGAGTTGGGAAGGAGGAATTTGGCCACTGGAGATGAGTCTCACCCACCCCCTGCCCCATCTTCATCAGGACCCTAGTTCCTGGGTCCAGACACTAAGCTTAGAGGAATTACCAGACAGCTTTCCTCCCTCCTCCCTTCCTTTTATTTTTGAGACAGAGTCTCACACTGTAGCAAAAGCTGGTCCTAAAGCTGCAGGTATCCTCCGGACTCTGCTGAGTTCTGGGATTCTTGGTGTGAGGCACCACATCCAGTTTAGAAAGCTTCTTCTTCTTCTTCTTCTTCTTCTTCTTCTTCTTCTTCTTCTTCTCCTCCTCCTCCTCCTCCTCCTCCTCCTCCTCCTCCTCCTCCTTTTCTTCTTCTTCTTCTTCTTCCTCCTCCTCCTCCTCCTCTTCTTCTTCTTCTTCTTCTTCTTTCTCTTTGTAACCGTAGAGATGTGTTTATGTTCTCGCGTGTGAATGTGGGCATGCAGCAGTGTGTCCATGGAGGTCAGAGTACTCCACCCCATTTGAGACAGCATCTTTCTGTTGTTTCCCTGCTGCATCTACCAGGCTTGCCAGCTCACAAGCTTCCAGAAATCCTCCTGTCTCTGTCACACGCCTCCTTATACTAGGACTGGAAGTTACTAATGCCTTATGCTACACACTGGCTTTTACAGGGGTGCTAGGAATTTGAACTCAGATCCTCATGCTGACACAGCAATCAATGTGACTCACAGAGCCAATTCTGCAGCTCAGAAGCTGCCTTTCTTCTGTACCTCCCTGACTTTGGCTCTGCATCCCGGTTTTGGGCTTTCGGGGATTGTTGGGAGGCACGGAAAGCAAAACCTCAGGTTCCCAACCTCTACTGTTGGCTCTAGGCTGGACAGTGGACACTTAACTGTTCCTGTTACCAGACCTGGGGTGGGGGAGTTGGGGTAGAGGACAGCAAAGATAAGAGAAGAACCAGGAACTTCAGGGAGCACTGACCCCCGCAGAATAGCTCCTGGGGAAAGCAGACCTATTTCTGAGTGTCCTCTACTTACTTCTTGGGTATGTGGCCTTTGCATCTTTATTTCTTTGAAGCATTTATTGGGGATGAAAGTAATAACAACTTTATGGGTTAAGGATGGAATGAGCATAGTTTATAAAATATACCTGTGCTATCGTATCGTAAGTACTGAGCTCCAAAGAGGCCATTTGCTGTGTGACTGCAGGAAAATCATTTTACCTCTCTGAGCCTCAACTTTGCCATCTATAAAAGGATAAAAAGTGCACCTGCCATTCAGTAGCCTATTAGAATTGTGGGGGTGGTGGGGATGATTGTGTGGGAGCCCTCTAGCACAGTTGCTCTTAAAATGTGGTCTGTACCCACACTGTTCCCTGGGAGCTACAGGGAGAGGCCAGTTCTGAAGACTCACATAATTCCAGGGCCCACCCACACTTGCCGATGCCTGTCCCCGGTTGATTCTGTTGTCTCTCAGCATGGAAAACCACTGCAATAGCTCCATGTATATATATATATACACACACACACACACACACAGAGAGAGAGAGAGAGAGAGAGAGAGAGAGAGAGAGAGAGAGAGAGAG